ACCTTTCGGAACGGTGTTGCGGCGCTGTAAATAGCTGTTGTTTTCAAAAATTTCGTTCTCGCTAATATAGATGTTTTTAGACCTAGATACCTTCAATCCGACTAGCATGTTACGACCCCGCGGCTACCTCACGTGTGACCCATAATTTTAATCCTATCAGGACTGGTCACTGTCACACCCTTAAGAGCATTCGATGTCCACTCCACAATGGTCACCCAGTAAACACCACAATCACTTGTAGTGACCGTCACGGTCACCCAGACGTGACCACGTCATGTATATATACATTCACTTAGAAGTAGATTGAACTTAGCTCACCAGCTATCAATACAACTTCTTTACATTGATCAAGTTCAACACGCATTGATCTACCATGAAGAGACCTAACACTTCGACAACGCTCAGCACCACGCCCTACGCAATCTGCCAACAATAAACCTAGCACGGCTTAGTTTATCCACAGTTGGGAACCAACCCGTCACACGAGGTATATAAAGGATTGTCTTACTTTTTGGATATATTTCTTTTTTTTAAGCTGTTTAGGATGGAATTTTAAGATGTATTCGCAGAAATAGTTCCGGCTTAAGCCGATACGAGAAGAGCATATTAAGGGCTGTACCACTGGTAGTTGTGCAAAACGAGCACCCCTGCCTAGGCCGTAGGTAGAGCACATGATGATGTGAGTGGAGTTATATTCCAACAGGGATAAAAATCCGCAATTAGACCCCTCGACATCTTACAGAGGATGGCCACATAGGAACCCAGCTGAAGGCAACAAGAACAGAAAGAAATGGAATTGATGTACTCGAAGAGCCTTGGGGTTTAATAAGTGAGATCATCTTATAGACAAAGCCGACAGCTGCGGGGAGATTGTAGGTACTATGGTCGCGCAGCATGGTGCATGAACACCGACAGAGCCTCAGCACGAAGTCACGAAGGATAGATTCTTGGAAGCAACAGCAAGTGGATGAGAAGATGGAGGAATAAGAGGCGGGGAGTCCGGATTTCTCCAACAGAAAGGAAGCAATTTAGATCATAGATAGCGAATGAGGATCAAAACGGGACACTTGGGGACAGCTGGCCTTTCAACAACAAGGCAAAGTGTTAGCCGGGCATAGCTGCGGATAAAAGCGGCCACGACCGTGTAGGATACTCAAATCAAAATCCTTCTGCACTGCCCCCTTCCGAGCTGATGGAAGGCAGCATCTTAAAGCAATCAAACTCACCCGCGCGCTACCCTCAATTGAATCCTTCAACGCCCGATCATGTAGGGCATTCGACCATCGCCTTCTCATGCTCTTCTTCTGGTTCTGCTTCAGATGATCGGCGCTCACGATGCCTGTTTAAATTAGATTGGTCACTTTCAAGCCGGGATTGGTTAATGGTAGGCTGACGGCGTGCCGGAGGAATAACGTGCCGACCCGCATAGCAACGGAACATTCCTTCTCCAAAATTTCAAAACCTTTTCCTACACCACCACCATTGCCTGCAGCGCCAGCTCAAACGCAAACAACCAACACGCGCGACGACCTCTACATTCCTCATCGCCCATCCCCGTTTTGACTCTCGGCGATGAGCCACTCCTGGCAAGACCACAGAATCGAAAGCGACAGCGTGACGACGGGCCTTCGCAAGCCAACATTGACCTTTTAGCGAAGAAGGCTACGACAAGAAGCGGAATCGAACGTGAAGCCTGGGGGTCCTGGGAGTATCCCCCCGAGTTCTACGATAGACTCTCGAAGATCAGCCTCAATCGACGAGCTTTAAGGAACTCGACAGACGCACCCGTGCTCGGCGCTCTCATCCCTTTCCTCCAGCCAGTCCCAGCACTGGTATTCTCTCTTGCACCACACGCCCCCAAGACCTAGCTCGAAGCCGTGCATGCGGGGAGGACTTCGAGGGTGGAAGGAGATAGCAAAACGTAGCGCCCGTAATAATCTTTGGGGCGACAGGATGTAGCGTACCGTAACAATTAATGATCGACCACCATGCTATACAATGAATTCTTACCTTCACTGATCAAGATGTCTGAGCAATCGTTTTTCTGAGATTGCGCCCGTTTCTTACTGTGGAGTCCTGCTCCAACTTCTCCAATTTCTCTAATAAATTTGACAACTGACTAAGTCCACTGGCCGCCCGGGCCGTTACCCCATCCATTGGACCGGCGTTAACGATAGGGGTCATCCCCACTTCATAAAGAGGACGGGCAAAAAAGCCCTCAACTCTTTAACATGCATCTTCTTTAAGCTCTTTATTTTCCACCCTTTCATTTTGTACTGCTGTATCTTTTTTTTTCACCTTCGTTACATGATCATGTCAAATCAATCCATAGGAAACACAACACCGGCCGTGGCGTCAACACCGGTCGCTGTCCCTACTGTACCTATTGAGTCCCCCTCAAGATCTCCGCCGGCTCAGAACGAACTTGTCCCTGCAGACGATTTCGATGTCCGTCCTTCAGCCCCGCTGAACTTTGAGGACAGTACTTACTTTTTAGTAGCATGATTCTCAAGGGGATGTTGACTCTTCTCTTGGAACCGATGCGTTAGTGGACATCATGATAGTTCATATCACGCGTTACTCACAGATCTCACAGTGAAAGCTCAACCGCCTCAGTTTCTGCCAGTATCCTCGAGTACCGCCGAAGCCAAGGACGCACGTACCACAGCGACAAATTCACCTCAAACTACTTTTTCCCTAACGACGATCAACAACTAGAGTCAATGGACTTAACGTGCGGCTTTACATCTTTTACATCTCAAGGCGTAGTGACGCGATCCTAACTAAACAAACAGGCACCATTACTTGACGCTTCTTTTGGACAACGAATTGTTTCTCGCTCCTGTGAAGACAGACTCTACACAGGTGGGACGTTCTCACAAAAACTCAAGCTGGTTGGAAGTATTTGTGCTGACTTTTATAACGCTTCTCGCAGCAAGTTCTAGATGTTGGGACTGGAAGTGGTGAGTTCTTGACCGTTGCTACTTTGGATCCCCACTGACGGGTTCGTAGGCATCTGGGCGATGTATGACATTCGAACATGTCCGCGTATGCCACCTGTTTACAGACTGTAGTGAATTCGCCGACCGATACCCCGATGTAGAAGTCATTGGCACAGACCTTTCCCCTTGCCAACCCCAATGGGTCCCGCCGAACGTTCGATTCGAAATTGACGATGCAAGTCTATCCTGGACATGGAAGGAGAATCACTTTGACTTGATCCATATGCGAGACCTCTTTGGCGCTATCAAAGACTGGAACACTCTATTGAGAGAGGCGTATCGCTGTTGTGCTCCGGGAGGCTGGGTCCAGTCCGGTGAAGCCGATATTACGTTCCGCAGTGACGATGGAACTACTGAGTTGGAGCCTGTATTCAAAACCTGCCAGAAGCTCTTTGAAGATGGTAGCAGAATTCTAGGCAACCCTTTTTTTGTGCACGATTTGCAGCAGAAAGCGTTTGAAGAGGCTGGCCTGGGAGACATCAGAACGGTCGATTATAAGGTGCGTTTCTTCTCTAGAGCTTGTTGTTTGTCTGTTCTTGAGACTGAAACGGTGTTCTGTAGCTTCCTGTTGGTGGTTGGCCTAAGGACCCAAAACTCGCCGAGATTGGTCGATTCGTTAAGTTCACAATAGAGAACGACTTGGAGGGTGAGATATTCCACTCTTTGACTATTGACCGATCTCTCACGCCCTATAGGTTACACACTCATGATGTGGCACGATGTTGTCCAATGGCCCCGAGATGAGTACCAGGTGTTTCTCATGAGCATGCGCAGAGCGATACGCAACCCGGAGGTTCATAGCTACATGGTTGTGCGTTACGTCTACGGCTGCAAGCAGGTGCAAGGCCCGATATAGCCGTGATCTACGTTCCCGAATTTTAGCTCTTATTTACTCCGACGTCTACTGTAACGATATGAAGAGAACGTAAATGTTGCATTTGTAGATAAGTCGAAGCTAAAAAGGGCTCGATCTCGTTCCACATAAAACCTCATACGGACATGACTAGACATGGTTGAGATAACATGCGGCACCAGCAAGGGCAGTTCCTCGTGTTCAAGTACCTTGTCGAGATCCATTTTGGCCCAAGTCCACCGATGCTGGTTCGATATAGGGATGGATTTCTGGTGCGGAGCGGAAAGAGTCAGTGTGTACGTGTTATGACAAACTTGTCCGTAAAGATTGCGACCGAGTCGTCTACCACTGCTACAGGACCAGTAGTGGCAGGCGCAAGCGAGTCCTTTGAGGTGCAAAGGTATCGGAAGAAAAAGATGCTCTGCTTTCTCAACCCGGGAAAGCAGGAGATTCAAACAGAAGGCAGAAATTGGATGGAACAAGTGTTGGATGATGGAGGTAAGCATTTCTACTGACAAAGCCTCAAGTCTGGACGGGTGTTCTGAATATCTGCGCTCGCCACGGGCCCTAAGAAGAATCAGAGTAGCAGTTCGAAGTTGTTTGTTGGACGTGTTTGTCGCCCTACCTCTACGTAGTGTGATGCTCTGAAAGATCATGCAAATTATCGACAGATGAGATAGCGCGGGTTCTATCTCTATGAATTAAATACTTGGTGCAGGACGGAGGTGATACAGGAGCATCGTCAAGAGGGCTGGGGGGATAGTCTATTAACCTCGAGTCGGGCTTTTGATACAAGAATATGGACCTGTCGTAAACCCACGCGATTACATGCTATAGCCGTGGGTGGTATTAGGCGTACAGACTACCTGGCTCTAAAATCTTGTGTCTCTGAAAACGGACTCTCTGAAACGGCCAGCATTGCACGCCCCGTGCCGTTCTTGGTAACCGAACGAAGCTGCCCGTTCTGTAGTATCGATGAGGCGACTACATTAACCTGGTTGCGCTTCTCCGCTATTATCCGGATCGCCTTAGGAAGACCCGCTCTTCTCGTCTGTTCCTTTCCTAGCCCTCGCTTGCTTAACTCTGCTGCTTAAAGGCCAACTTTTTCGAATGTTCAGCGTCATATCTCCAGGTGCTTCATCTCCAGCAGCTGAAGCATGGTCTATCAACTTGGGACTATTTACTTTTAGTGAGCTGTTGTCATCTTAGTGTTAAGCGTACTTTGTTTTCCTCTGATCAAGCTCCTTCTCGCTCTTGGTTTAATATCCCCATCGCTATTGCAAATTTAATTGCGGCTCGCACCGCCTCTAGGTTAGGCGTTTATTTAGGCCTACCCAACGCAAACTTTTCGCCTAGAAATAAGGACAGGTTTTCTATCATACTCTCAATTCAGCCGGTCGCATAACATCACATTCTGTCTCCTACTTTATACATCAGAACAGAAAAGGCTCTAACGTACATGATAAGCGAGTGCAACAAACAAGCGAGTGCAACAAAAAATCCCGCAATGTGTAGTTTCCCGGTTCAACCAATTAATTCTCAACCACTCAACATGTCAAACCCAGATACTGAGGCTAGAATGCTTCTTGCTCTTCAAGCCCTTCAGAATGACCCAGAATTAAGTCTCCGACGCGCCGCGGCCATCTACCAGGTCCACTACTGGACTTTGTATCGCCGACGGAAGGGCATCCTGTCCACGCGTGATTCCATCCCGAAATCACGCAAACTATCTGATCTAGAGGAGCAGATCATAGTTCAGTTTATTCTTGACCTAGATTCGAGAGGCTTTCCCCCGCGACTGCGTTGTGTGGAAGAAATGGCTAATAGACTGCTCGCCGACCGCGATGCGTCACCCGTCGGCAAGCGATGGGCTTCTAACTTTGTGAGGCGTCACAAAGAGCTCAAGACACGTTTTTTTCGTAAGTATGACTACCAGAGAGCTAAATGCGAAGATCCGGCCGTGATTCGCAACTGGTTCAGGCTCGTAGCGAATGTAATCGCAAAGTATGGCATCCGGTCAGATGAAATCTACAACTTTGATGAGACCGGCTTTATGATGGGAGTCATTGCGAGCGGAATGGTCGTCACCGGTGCTGAGAAGCGCGGAAGACCAAAATCAGTGCAGCGTGGAAATCGTGAATGGATTACAGCTACCCTAGCAATTAATGCTGAGGGCCAAACGATCCCACCATTCATCATAGGTGCGGGCCAGTATCACCTCGCCAACTGGTACGAAGGGAGTAACCTCCCAGGCGATTGGGCTATCGCAACGTCTCCAAACGGATGGACCGATAACGAAATAGGCCTGGAATGGCTCAAGCACTTCGATAGGTGTACTACTAAGCATTCAAAGAATCGCTACCGTCTTCTGATCCTGGATGGGCATGAAAGTCACCACTCGGTTGACTTTGAGAGATATTGCAAGGCGAATAAGATCATCACGCTTTGTATGCCACCTCATTCTTCTCATCTGCTACAGCCTCTCGATTTGGTGTGCTTCAGCCTGCTCAAGAAGGCTTATGTGCCAGAAATAGAGCATCTGATCCGATGCTCTGTGACCCACGTTTCCAAGACCGAGTTCTTTCCGGCGTTTCACGCCGCATTTCGAGCCATAATGACGGAGAAAAATATCAAGGCAGCTTTCAGAGGAGCTGGTCTTGTTCCTTTCGACCCAGAAAATGTGGTTTCAAAGCTTGACGTGCAGCTACGGACACCGACGCCTGCAGAGGAGGCAGCTAGCCCTTCGACCCCTTGTGGGTTTCAAAGACGCCAAGGACGGTGCTTGAGGCCCACTCTCAGCTCGAATACCTCGAAAGTAGAATTAAAAGGCATAAAAGTAGCTCCCCTGAGTCAATTTTGGAAGCATTGAGGTCTTCCTCGAAGGGGACAAAGATAGCCATGCACAAGGTTGCCTTATTAGAGGCCAGGGTCCAAGACCTTGAACAAGCAAGCGAGGCACTAAGTCGGCGGCGCAGAGCAAAAAGAAAACAGCTACAGAAAGGAGGGGTGATGACAGTAGAGAAAGGAAGGCAAGCAATCAATCAGACTGATGTCAATGCGCAGGCAATGGCTGGACCATCGAGAATCGGTTGTGAAGAAGGGTCTACACAATTGAAGGAAAGGCGTTGTGGAGCTTGCGGAAAGACAGTACATAACGCAAGAACTTGTCAAATAGTTGTCGCTACGCCTTTAGAAGAATGTAGTGATTGAGTTTACCTTTTTTTCATCATCTGTTGTGTTGTAAAGCTGTTTCTATCTAGCATGGTGGGATCCTTTGTTGCACTCGCTTGTTTGTTGCACTCACTTATCATGTATGTGACGGTTGTGGTTTCAAACAGGGAAACTAGTCCGTACTAGGTTTATGTTTGCAGAACGTAGGGCGTGTATACTGAGCTTGGCTTGGGTGTCACGTCTCTTAATGATCAAGTAATGCGTGTTAGGCTTATTGATGTAAAGAAGTCTTATTGATAGCTGGTGAGCTAAGTTCTATCTAGTGCTAAATGAATGTATTTATGTGTTGGTGGCTCACGGTTTAGGGAGACGGGCTCACGGTGAGTCGTGAGTCTTAATAGTGAGTCCATCGTGAGTCGGTGGGGCGGCTCACGGTTGGTTTTCTTACAATGTGGCGTGAGTCAATGCCTGATTGGTGAAATTTTGTGGGGTGCACGTGACGTAAGCGCCATATCCTGTTGGGTCGTAACACAAGTCGTAGCCTTCATCCGCTTAACTTCTTCTGCAATTCAGTTTCAATTGCATCAAGAACCTTAGCAAGTGCATCGCGAATCTATAAACAAATAAGCTTGCTGCTATAGTTCCCAAATCTCAATTGACATACCTCATCAGATATGCCGTCGGGGACATTTAGTGTCTTACGGATCGAAGATGCAGCTTCTTCGAGGGCGCCAATATCTAGATCCGACCACTTGCCAACCGTGAAGGTCTCAGTCCGCCCTGATTTACCAGCCCCCTCAGTCACATTGTTTAGAATCTGTAGGGAGACCTGGCCTGAATAGAAGTTAAATGACTGCTAGATGGAAGATAGCGATGAACGGCTGGCTTACCATTGACAGGACCCCTCCAAATCACTCCAACGTTGGCGATGTAACCGACTGCCCCCAAATACGGATTTATATCCGGAAGGCACAAGACACCAGGAAAAGCAGTAGTATTCACGCCATTTGTTTGGCTGGGATTAGCATATGCGGGCGGGTTGTAAATAAGCAACAGAGCAGCAACATTGTTGTTTAGTGCTACAGACTGATTGACATTGACGAATGTAGTCATATTGATCTACTTTTTACGTGGCGTTGAATGAGGGGCTTTGTAGATAAAGGAAGTGATCGATATTGTCTGGGGAGGGAATTCCATGCATGAGGACATCCATCTTATATACACATCTACTCAAGCGCTGAGATTTTAATAACACTCCGATTATATCGCAATGTTCACGCCTAGACAGATAATAGGAAATCGGAACTATTGTGTCTCAGCTGCCTGATGATTTGTCTTGTGATATCTGATTGGACTCAAAGGTTCTTGATGCAACTAATACTAATAGTTCAAACTATAATTAACCAAGTGGACTAGCTTTCAATATACGGCTGTCCGTGGCTGGCTGATACCCTTGAAAGACGCTGTTCAGACATAGGAAAGTCTCAGCCCAGGCAAGCGGAAACAGGTTCAGCCTGTGAATTAATTGAAAGCAGGATATTCAGCAGAATATTTCAATAAACCATCCTGAAATATTATTGTTGGCAATTTGTGTGTGACGATTGCGGAAAATGGCACTGAGTCGTCACTATTCGCGGGGTAGAACCCTGCTCGGCACAGAAACCGAGAGCATCCCGATAAGAGGGCTCATGTACCGGTTGATGTGAAGATCAAAGGTGATTGATGACTGCATATGCGGGGGAATCACTGCCGGTGCAGCTGATCGAACCATAACGGAGCGGACAGAACTGAAGCTTACAATGCTAAGTTACCTGGCGTCGGCTGCTTGTTTGGTGGAGATCGAAGTCTTAGCCCTTTAACCTGCCCGAGCACTAGTAGCTTGACTGACGCTAAATATCGCTTTTCATCAGCCAGCCTCACCGATGATTTCATGGAATTCGATCGAGACCTTCTATACCCTGGTTTCCGAGACGGAGGCGCCGTATAGGCTGGCCCAAAAAGGCTTCCCTAATGCCATTTTAGGCTTGTTTGTTTAAGCGAGACAGGGGATCCTCGCGCTATTTGTTCACTTTATGGATTGTGGCTGGCTAAAGCAGCCGTCCCGTGTCAAAGCGGCGCTACCATGCGGCCCTTTCATCCCACTTAACGGCCAAGAGATGCTTCAGCTATTAGTTTCTATGTTCTGTAGCTGCATGGAAACTCTTGCTTTTCTTGGAGGTGATAGGTGATATGGCATGGTGGTTTGACTTACACATGAGTCTAGACCTTCAAAAAGATCATCTGACCTATTGTTAATTCAGCTACACCGTGACGACGAAGGCGGGGTGTTTGGCGAAAGAGACCTTCGAGGCTTCGACTGAATAAGAGAATAATCAATGACGACACACGCTGCTCCCAGTTGACTTCGTTGTCCGCCATTGTGGTTTATCTCCCAACCAGTTCAAGTCTTTACTGCCGGAAGAGGGCAAATAATGGGAGCCATAGTAGCGATTACTGTACCCTGGACCTGGAGACTTTTCCCCAAAAATCAGGCTATGGCAACTCTCTCGTGTAAAAATTCTTTCTTGGCACGCACTGTTAGTGCGGTGCTAGGGCATGATTTTCTGCAGGCTATATAGCTACACAAAAACTGCAGGGACGCTATCAGCTCCCTAATATCAGTTCTTAGAGAAGGAATTCTATAGAATTTACCTTCTTTAATAATACCTTTATTGGATCTAATGGCAGTACCTTAGAACCGGAATGCCTTAGATATTAGAGGGCAATACCCCAGGCATTTATAATAACATCCTTCTAATTAATATCGCCAATTGCAATAGGTTTTTCTCCTTTAGCTGCAATTAATAATTAGAACTATCGACAAAATGAGTACACAGCAAAACGCCTTTCCAAGACAGATTTCAGGGAGAACCAACCCGCCGACAAAACAAAGCTCAATTGATTGCGCAACACCAATCGACATTCTCTCCAGAATAGCTTAATTAACGAAACAAGCTTTCTTCCTGAGAGCGAGATTAAAAGCCTTGTGGCACCCGACAAGATAATGCTATTATTGTCGAATGCGAAGCCAGAATTAGTAGACTTTATATGCAAGGATGCAAATAATCTATTTTTGGCTACATCGTTGCACCATGGTAACCTTCAGGACATCATGGGCACTTTCAAGGAGGTCGCTTGACTGTTCCAAAGATACGCTTCGAGAGAGTAAGCTCAGACGACGATTATGACTCCAGCGACCACGGTGAAGAGCAGCACTGGCGCCATGGAGACCTCAAGCCCGATAAAATCCTCCATTTTACAGAGTGAAGAGTCTCCCTGGCTTGGAACTCTCAAAAACGCCGACCTGGGTCTTGCCAAGCAACACGCATTCGCCACTACCCAGAGACAGGACCCAACCCAGTAGAAATATACAACCTCTCACTACGAGGCACCTGAAGTCATCACTACCATGAACTCTCGGGTGCCTCGCTCACGCCGCTACGATATATGGTCCATGGGCTGCATCATATTCGAGTACACGATTTGGCTTCTATATGGCTATGAAGAGGGACTGAGAAGCTTCTATGACGAGGGGAAGGATATTAATGCCTATCGAGAAACATTGTACTTTACAGGCGATCTCAGCACAAGGAAAGCTCAAGTGAGTGACGCGGCGCGAAAATGGATTAGCCACATCTTGGAAGTCGGCCCGGAATGCAATCGTGCTACTCCAAGCGTGATCAAAGATCTCGTCACGTTGGTGAAGGATAAGCTTCTCGTTATTGATCTACCAAAGGAAAACATGAGTCAGGACGGCATCAAGCGATGTCGTGCCAGTGCAGATGACTTGGAAAAGGCCTTGCAAAAGATTAAGAGAATGGCCATCGAGGATGAACATAATGGAGGTAAATACCTGTCTTCGGGTAAAAGTCGCAACGAAGCTTCCGCTCCTCGTCCGGAAAGGTTCGTAGGCAGAGCTTCCTGTCAACCAGTTCATGCTCGGCGTCAAAACCATCAACTGGTCTGATTGATGGTGGCAATGGCTGATACAAAACAGGATGTAGATAAATTGGCGGTAAATTGGAGGTGACATCAGATGGCTAACTGATCACGCTTGTACTATAGACTGTAAGTGAGATTATAGGATAGGAGCTGGCCAGCAATTAGCTAATCTTGAATTTAGTACATGGCTTACATCCCTGCTAAAATATAGTCCTACGAACGCTGCTCACCATGCATTATTGTATTCTATAGAGTGTAAGTGAGAAGTACTTGTAATGTTTTTGTTGACAATAAAACGGCTGACACAGATTGATTTTATAGCACGTAAGCAATATTTAATTATGCTCTAATAGATTTGTGTTTCGAAACTAACCGGAACTTACTAAGATTGTAAGTCTACATAATAAACCTAGGGCCAGAGTCTTTCTCTTACTAAGCATGACTTCATCTTATAGGCAGTAAGCACAATATCACGCCCTAGTATAGTATTGTGAATCTGACTTGGGCAGTTCGATAACATTTGGAACCGGATGGAAGATAAAACTATCTCGCTTGGAGTTCTGAAGCGTCACGAGACAGCGATTATGGACAGCATAACTAGGTCCCAGGAAATAGCAAAGCTATGTGACAAATGCAGCGAACTTGACTATCAGAGCGAGGAGCCCGTATTGAGGGAGACTCTGGCGACTATGAGATCCAAGATTCAGCGGTGTGCACTACACAGTCCTATTTACCGTTCTATTCCCCTAACTGCTTATGACGACCTGGAGGTTGTGCATATCCGGAGATCTGACTCCTCACTTGTCATGGACAAATCGAAAATACCCTTACTCTCTCTTTCTAAAACTTCAGGTGCGTAAAACGTTGCCAGATGCAATGGTACCCTCAGTTGACTCTAGAAAGCAGATAAGTCAAAGAAGAACTATCTATACTCTGATGATATCCACTTTGGACTACCTAAGCTTTTTGAACCCAACACTGTCCCGTACTACGACCTTCTCATGACATGGCTTCAAGATTGTGACTTTTATCATGCCGAATGTCATCCCATAGACAGATCAAGTGTTCAAGTCCCAACTCGCCTGATTGACATTGGTCTGGCGGATGGTAGAAGCTCGAAGGTTTACCTTCGCGAGGCAGTGAACGCCGTATGCCCCGAGAGAGGTGAGTTGAGATACATCGCACTATCACATCCTTGGGGCAATGGGAAAGAGCACGACCCCTTCTGCACCACGAAAAACAACCTTAACAGTCGACTAAGTGCCGGTATTGATATTAAGGATTTCCCGAACACATTCAGACATGCAATCGAGGTGACTCGAGCACTTGGTGTCTCGTACATCTGGATCGATTCGTTATGTATAGTGCAGGGACCTGATGGGGACTTCGACACTGAAGCCAAAGAAATTGAGGCCGTCTTCAGCTCGGCATATTGCGTCATTGCCGCAAGTTGCGCCAACGGAACATCACGTGGCTTTTTGTGGGAAAGGCCTCAACGCGAAGTAGTGAGACTGGATGGGTACCTTTCCCATGATCCAGTTTATGTCTATGAAGCAATTGATGACTTTCAGCATGATGTGATTGAGGGGTCGCTGAAGAAACGTGGATGGGTCCTGCAAGAGCGTGCTCTTGCACCAAGGACCATATATTTCACAGAGAATCAGACGTATTGGGAGTGCGGGCAAGGCGTGCGCTGTGATACGTTGACAAGGTTGACCAAGGAAGTTGCAAGCGAACTCTCTATAACCTTCAATGCTTACCTTGGCCTTGTAGCAGCCAGGCCTCATACCTTGGGGATCCCAGCTTTCCCAAGTTAGCTATGAAGTCGACCAGAGGAGCGAAAATACGCTTTTATGAATCACTGTACAAACAATATTCGAACCTCGATTTCACAAAGATCCATGACCGACCTATAGCAATAGCCGGGCTAGAACAACGACTAGTCAGTGCTTTCAAGACCGAAGGAGGATACGGTGTATTCAATGGAGCATTCTTTGGGCGCAGCCTTTTATGGACGAGGGATATACAACGAAGCGATGGTCTGAAATTGATTGACTTTCCCCGTGATCAGAAGTTCAGGGTTCCAACATGGTCGTGGAAAGCTTACGAAGGACCCATCACATACTTTGACATCCCTTTTGACCATGTTCGATGGACATACAACACCGCAGAAGGAAGGATTCAATCGCCATGGACGACTATGGACGTCAGACTCTACCTCGTTCTCTTTGCATACAGGAGAACTAGATGGAAGAATTGATCTTACTGCCCAAGCAAGGGAAATGTTGGATCTGGAATTAGCCGAGGCGCAGGGAAAGGTCATCTGTGACGAAGGAACGTCGCCGCCAGGTGTACGTAAGCTATGCGTTATTGTCGGAAGCGAAAAGTCAAAGGATGAAAGATTCACGACACAGGACCTAGAGTATTATACTCTACTCGTTGCGCCCTCTGATGATCTCAGCACTAGTTCCTACCGAAGGGTTGGTGTTGGCAGGTTATTGGAAAGTTGGATCGACTTTGGCAAGCCCGAGTGCATAGTCTATATATCCTAGCAACTCTCCGTAGTAAGACATTACAAGTCGATTCAAGCTCATGTGACCTTTTGCCATTGTAACATGGACTAATTTTTATGTGCTGTATGTTTTATCTTACTCAATTTTATGAAGCCGCCATGTCACAACGGATCTGGGCCTTCTGTTCTGTGTTTGGACAGAACCGGATAATTAGTCCTGGTTTAGAAAGCCCTTATATATGGCTATTGGTGTCCTATGTAGTTCAAAACTGGGATAGTCTTAAGTAATTTGTTGACATCGGTTCTTTGGACCTGTTCTGTGATTTAATAAACTTGCTTACTGGCAATGTCCTTGTCAATTGTGAGACTGTGACGCAAACAGGCCACGTGACTGTCAATCATCAGGACAAACACCAAGATGAGGACAAACAAGCTTGTCAGGGAGGGCAGACAGCGACCTGGGTGAATGACTGCATCTTACGTATAAATTCTATCCGGATTCCATAGACCTACTTAGACCTTACAACTTTTCTGTTCATGCCTTCGACTTTGACCTTGTTGACCGTATCCCCGCGTGACTGACTGACCCGCTCTAGCTCACACACACACACACAAAGTCTATTACGCCCGGTAGGCCAACGCCCAGAGGGCTCTATGAGCTAATAATACACACAATTCGCTACGGGTTGCCCTGATCTCGCCGAGCTCCTATGTTTTCTGCCTTGTTCTCTTCTGTCTCTCCATTGTCTCTCCTTCTAGATCCCTGTATCAGTTAGTAGTAGCAGGTCAGCTTGAAGACCATTTCCTCCAAGTGTTCAGTTTCCTATCGTCGGCGGCTGAAGCGGTACCTGCTTGTAGTTGTACAGGGTAGTAGTTGTTGGTATAAGTTAGTAGTGGTGTTGTCATCTCTGTTCCAGGCGACCTGTGGCGATCGCAAATCGGATTGTGGCTCGTACTGCTTTGACGTTCGGTGTCCACTCTTGTCCATCTGATGCTGCCTTGCCTCCCAAGTGAAAAGAGAGGTTGCTGCGCTTTTCTTCTATACATTGCAGCATCATATCTTTGCGCTGTGCCGTCCACTTTATGCATCGGAAGAGGAAGTGCTCTACTGTTTCCTTCGCACGCCCGCACGGGCACTCGTCCGATGGCGCCGCTCTGATCTGATATAGATATCCATTTAGCCGTGCCATTCCTGTTCTAAGTTGAGCCAGCACGCTGGCCTCTTTCCATGATAGTTGATCGTATAGCAGCCKGGTATGTTTACCAGGCAGAGCTGAGTCGACCTTTCTAGGATGCTCACCAACTC